TTTTTATTAAATTTTGTGTGCATATCGGGTAGGTCTGAGAATCGGCTAACATCTATTTTTCATACCCCAATTTTTTTTTAATTTTTTGACATTTTTTTATTTTTATTTTATTATGACTTAGCATTGAAAAATACATACAAATTCAAGTTTTCACCCTTTTACTATCAACCACTGTTTTCTAATCGCGATTTTTATATTTCAAATCAGGGTTGCAAGATGGCAATCGAATATAATAATTGTAGTAGGATAAATTTTCATGCATAGTTCTCGAAATAACGTATATGGTAAAACAACGTTTGCCGAGTCATATATCGAGTAAGTCGGAGAGTCGGCCAACATCTATTTTCATACCCCTCTAAAATACATACAATCTAAAATTTTCACCCTTTTACTATCAACCCCCTGTTTTTTAATCGCGATTTTTATATTCCGCAATAGGGTTGCAAGATGACAATCGAATATAATAATTGTAGTACGATACATTTTCATGTATAGTTTATAATTATAATTTGCTTTTATAATTCTAATTTCTTTTTCCCCAATTTAATCTTCAACCCTCACCGGTCGATAACTGATCAACAATCAAACGATAAGTTACATCACGGAGTAGGGATGAGAACGAAGCCGGCCTCCTTCCTCTCACTCTCTAGTTTTCCCCCATTTTTTTATGCTTTTTTTGTGTCTCGATCGTAGCAGTGACTGTTAACATAATTTTTTTTTTATGCAACTTAGAATGACAAACAAGCTGACGGCCCACCTGATGGAAAGTGGTAACCGTCGCCTATACACATGAGCAGTACCGTGGACATAGCAGAGTATACTGTTTCACCCATGATACCCCCCCATGCGTTGCCATTCCTGAGGACTCAGGTGTTATTCCTCTGTACCCAGTAAATTCACGCCATATCCCACCCTTCAAACCGAAACACAGTCATGCAAACACAACTGCTTCACGGTTGAAACACGAATGGGACAGAGGTAGCCAAGCAATCGACTTTTGTACAAAGTCTCCCTCCCCTAATTATGTAGATGTTAATACATAGATTTTGTGGTCTACAAAACGTAAGTGGCTACGTTTAATCGACGACGCAGTCGGGCGAAGCTTGAGAAATCGGCCGAGTTCGGCTCGCTGCGCGCGGACAAATGGCGCGCCTCTGTCGCCGACAGCTCTGTTGGACACGACGATAATTTTAACGGGGGTTTTGCAATACGATTTTGACGTCGAGTCGCTTTAACGTGTCCGCCATTTTTTTTTCCGTGCTGTTTGTATTTTTGGTGTAACCCCATTCGTGGGGTGGGGATGGGATTGTTAGTAATGCAGGCTACCAGTACCATTGCTAGCAATATACCCTGTCAGGTCGACTTCAACGTGGTCTTCCCAGGAAATCATTGTGCTGAATGGAAGGTGTATTCATTACGATGGACTAACTGACCTGCCTTTTCACCCTCACTTATCATCCCTCACTGGTGCTCCACCAGCGTATACCGTTAGCGCATGCAGGGTTACCATACCAGTATCATCCATAAAAAAAAAACGCCATTTGTGTATTGTTGAGCCATCTGTATTCTTAGGGTACAGCCATTTGTTTGTTCGCTATAAAAACCATTTTTGTATTTTTGGTAAAAGTAATTTATATTTTGTTATAATAGCTATTTGTGTTTTGTTATAATAGCAATTTGTATTTTCGATGTAAGTCATTTGTATTTTAGTTAATTTTAAACTTTCGCGTTATTTACACATATTTTAAGCTTTTACATCGCGTTAAATCCCGATTGTGTGTTCAAAACATTTATATTTTGTTGTAAGAGCTATTTTTTTTTAAATGGGATGATAATGGAATGGTAACCCCACCCACGCTATCGGTATACACCGGCGGGGCACCGGTGAAGGATGATAGGTGAGGATAAAGCAGGTCAGTTAGCCCATCGTGACGAATTCAACAAGAATTGTTCACGATGGTTTCCAGGGGAACCACGTGGAGGTCGACCTAATAAGGTATATTGCTAGCAATGAGGCTGTCAAACCCTATTGCTAACAATCCCTTTCCCCCCTGTAAGAGCTATTTGTATTTTGTTGTAACAGCCATTTGTATTTTTTGACGTAATAGTCATTTGTATTTTTGGCTTAAGCCATTTGTATTTTTGCTGTAAAAGCTTATGTATTTTTTTATATTAACGCCGATTTTTGCGGCGAAAATAACAATATTTTTATTACGGTTACCATCTCGCATTTTTGTCGTCGTAACCTTGCAGGTCTGGATTTTTTTTTACAACGCAGGGGGCAATCGAGCATGCGGCTCACCTGATGGTAAGTGACTACCGCCGCCCATGATCACCCACAACACCAGCGGCATTGCAAGTGTGCTGCCGGCCATTAAATCTCATGCATGCTTCTCCATGATACGCCATTTAAAAGTGTTCTATTTTAATTGATATTCTATTTCTGATGTCCACACGTACGAAGTAACGAGCAAATATTAGTATTGTATAAAAATAAAAAAAAAATATTATAAGGCGTATTACTGACTCTGAGTAAGGAATCATTTTTAGGCCACTCCACATCATCGTAACAGCGTTGATTTAATATAAACAACATAGCGGTCACCCGGCTGACGTCAGTTGTCTGCACGAGCTGTATCATCGTGGTCGTTAGAGGATCATTGAAATAAATCATTAAAATAATCAGCGCAGTTCATGACCCGGCCCACGTGTTGTATGTGCTTATCAACAAAATGGCATTAGATCCAAATATGATGTAATTTGGAACAAACATTTTCTCTACAACAAAGCCATGTTGTTCTGCAAAATGAGAAAAGAATAAAATACTTTGTTGCGAATTAATTTGTTTTTTTTTTTTTGTCGTGTGAAACCACCCCTTCCTTTCCCGTGGGTGTCGTAAGGCGACTAAGGGACGGCGTGAGATGGGCAGCAGCGTCCCTCTAAAAACATCTCCAAAGCGTAACTGCGGTTGCCAATTCGCCTGCCAAGGGTGGCAGCTTCTGGCAAAACTCAGACAAGACAGTTAAAGGCTGATATGGTGATGAAGAAATAATATTTTGTACAAAGCTCTTATTTACTGCTAGCCTGTTCACATTTACTTCGTACACGTGGATATCAGAAGGTGGAAGACCAATGACAGACTTCTTCTAGACGTATCGAGATGAAATATACACCGGATTTTAAGATAGACCTTCCAGGAATACAGCTGTAAAAGTGGTATACAATTTGACGCAGTAATGTTTGCGTGATACTTGAACTAGCATATACAGAGAAACAATTTATATAAAAATTTGTTTTGCTCTTTATTACCTTATTAAGATCTCCCTCGTATAGATTTTTCTTAAATTTCTCCCATGTATAAATATTGTTTAGTTACCGTTTTATTATATAAACAACACAGGAGCAGTTTTTTTTAATGGCTGATAATGGAATGGTAACCTCGCCTGTGCTATCGGTATACACTAGCGGGGCACCAGTGAAAGATGATAGGTGAGGATGAAAGCAGACCAGTTGGCCCATCATGACGAATTCCACTAGAATTAATCATAATGGTTTCCAGGGGGAACCACGTGGAGGTTGGTCTGATAGGGAGTATTGCTAGCAATGGGTCAGTTTTTTTTTTAATGGGTGATAATGGTATGGTAACACCGTCTGCGCTATCGGTATACACTGGCGGGGCACCAGTGAGGGGTGACAGATGAAGATGAAAGTAGGTCAGTTAACCAATCCTGACGAATTAAACTAGAATTAGCAATGGGTCAGTTAGACCCTGTAACTGACAATCCCTTTCCCCCCAACAACACAGGAGTAAAATACCAAATTTAAATTAAAAATCATTTAAATTAAATGGAAAAATGTTTCTTCGATTAACTTGGAGTGAAAAAAATATTTAGATCGATAATTTATTTGCATTACTTACAGCACACAAATAAAAACAGCAATATACAGTAAAAAGAGATAAAAGAATGCATTAACAAAAAAAAAAAGCAAAATATCTAAAACAAGTAACAGTTTTCTTCCTTCATGCGCGTGCCACAGTAACACAAAATGGTCACAACTCAGTTTATTGTTTTGCCCTCAAAAGAGCAAAACACAATTTGTATCATTCTAACTTAATAAAAAAGTATATAGTTAAAAGTTAAAATAATAACGTAATAATTAAACTATTACGCCTTTGACACATTTTTTTAAATACACTATCGTAACTTAAACGCGATGAAAAATTGCAGATCCTGAATTTAAAATGTAAATTTAATGTGTAAAAAACGTATATTAAAGCCGACCAAAAGACAGCCCGCTGATGTCTAATTTATTTATTTATTTATTTAACATAATATTTATATAAATAATAAATCTAATATTCAATTGAATGCTTCTATTTGTTACTAATTACTTATACACGCAGAGAGTGTTCCCGTAATGATTTTTTTTGATGGGTGAAAATGGTATGGTAACCCCGCCTGCGCTAACGGGATACGCTGGCGGAGCACCAGTGAGGAGTGATAGATGAGAATGAAAACAGGCCAGTTAGCCCATCATGATGAATTCATCAGGAATTAACCATGATAGTTTCCAGGGGGAACCGCGAGGAGATCGACCTGGTCGGGTGTATTGCTAGCAATGGGATTCTCAGTCCCCATTACTAACAATCCCCTTCCCCCCTCTCATAATGATTACAAACAAAACTTTGTTATCTTTTCAAGAGCTGTCATAACGGAATGTATAGTATAAAGTCGAAATTTTGTAAACGCTCCGTAAAGTTTATAACAAAATTTTTTTTCTCACAAACAGCAAAGATTTAGCCGTAATGAACTCGCAGAACCGCAGCCAGTCGCTGTTTCCCCATAAAAAGGAGGCAACCAAACATTGAAATAACAAAACGCGCCACTTTAGCCTAAATTTAATTAGGACCGTTTAGACTAAACAATGGCGAACGGCATTTTTAATTTTCGCTTTCCCATTATGTACCTATAATTAATTTTGCTCTCCCATTGTTGCAGGCACTTGGCGGGGAATAAATAAAATCTGAAGACGAAGAATCGACTAGAACAATGTCTAGTGCGACGGAATAAATCGGATGTAGATGGAGGATACGAATGGTTAATATGACTGTTTAAAACATTGTTTGTCGCGTGGTCCCGGCGTAGAATAAGCCACCGCTTCGTTTCACGTGGGTGTCGTAAGAGCCGAAGAGGATGGGCAGCGGCGTCCCTCTTAAAACATCTACGCCTAACTGCAGTTGCCAACCCGCTTGCTAAGCGTGGCAACTACTAGCAACCCCCCCCCCCCCCCCCTCGTATAGAGGGAGGGATATGTTTAGCAATGAATAATTAACGACTAATATGGTATGGTATTTTGAAAAACAATTTTTAAATATATCTCTTACTAATCTTTCGATAATTTAAAATCTATATACGCTGAACCTAAATTAGAAATTTTTAAACATCTCTGTTAACTAATCATACATAATCCTCATCATATCAGCCTATTAACTGTCCATTGCTGGACATAATCCTCCCCCTTGGGGGGGGGGGGGGGGCAATAGTTGCCGTACTTGGCTGGTGGATTATTACAAAGGTATAATAATAAATAAATGTTTATTTTACGTTTAACAGTGCATATATCGTCATAGCCGTAGAATACTGACGGATCTGACAAAGATTACATTATATAGATCCGTCAGTATTCTACGACTGTGACGATATGTTACATGTCTTGCAAGTTTTTGTTTTATATACTAAATTCGAAAAAAATTTAACAAAGAAACCTTTTATGTCGTAGGTATTGTGTTATATTTATATATACGTACATATATGGGGGAAATATTGTGCTCCTAGTTATTAAATTGTATTTTATAGAATTATTTAACCATCACTCGATCTAGGAGGGCGCCAAGCCGGGCAATTAATTGTCTAAGAGCGGCAAAAATTGTGATCGGCAAATTAGTTTTCCCGGGTTTAATAAATATAAATTGCCCGTGGGTGATAAGGTTTATTTTTACCCGGAGTAGCAGTATTTAGTTTTGCCCATGGCGGCAAAGAACTGGGATCGCATCACATAAATATTGGTATTGCCCGGTGCGGCGAAAATTCTAGATCGGGTCCCTGTATTGTAATAGAAACTACTCTACCGTCTAACTCCCACAGCGATCGTCTGTATGCACAAAGAAGAGCTCGGCACTATCATATTCTGCATTCCATATTGTGACAAATTCCATTTTGCTCACATCTGGGATGCCGTGTATCAAAATTCACGTTGCGCATTGTCGTACCAACGCCATCTGCTGCATAAACTGCAAACTAGAAGTTACCCACTACCGGACAACAGATGGCGCTATCAATATTTCAAGATGGGAGCTGGCGAAAATGAACGTAATGCGCTGTGCCCTTGTCATTCTTCTTGCCCAGTGTTATTACACTACTGGACGGAGAACTGATAAGGGCATATCCATTGCAAATTCTACATGGACCCAAAGTCGGTGGATGCTGTTGGCTCCAGGGCTGTTCCTTATGACAGTCTATGGAAGAGAGTCATCAGCAGTGGACAGTTCAGTGGCTGACATGATGATCACCAACTATTAAGATAATGCAATCATAACTTTCACCATTTGTTCATTTTGTTAATAACCTTTATTCCTTTATTAATATGTAGACACTAATTGAACAATATTCCAAAGTTGAATTTTCAGTTCAACTCACCAGAGGGAGACTTTGTACAAAAGTCGATTGCTTGGGTACCTCTGTCCCATTCGTGTTTCAACCGTGAAGCAGTTGTTTGCATGGCTGCGTTTCGGTTTTAAGAGTGTAACTCCGCCTGCGATATCGGTATACGCTGACGGGGCACCAGTGAGGGATGGATGATAGGTGAGGGTGAAAGCAGGTCAGTTAGCCCATCGTGAAGAATTCCGTGAGAATTAACCACCATGGTTTCCAGAGGGAACCGCGTGGATATTGCTAGCAATGGAACTTCTAGATCCCATTACTAACAATCCCTTCCCCCCTTGCCATGTAGTTACCATTATATCAACATGTCTTCTTTTCATTTAAGAGTCTCCTCTTGTCGGTGCAACTAATCCATGCATCTTCCTCCAGCCAGCTCTATCGCAGGCCATATCCTTTATCTCCCTATACGATATGACACCTAGTGTTTCCTTTATCTGTCCCATGTAGTTAATCCTCGGTCTTCCTCTTCCTCTTTTGCATATTGACACGTAGAATAACTAATTTACAATGTTATTTTTATTTTATAATTCAAATCTTGTTATTATTTTGTTAACTTAAAAATTACAATGTAAATATTGACTTGTCATTTGTGTTACGAGAACTGTTACATTTATTAATAAAGAAATATAAATATAATATAATATATTGTATTGAAATGCTTCGCTGTATCTTATGTTGTTAATCCTATAAATAAATAAATAAATATTTCCAAATAAGAGAATTTATTTATATATTTATATTTTTGCACGCATTGGAAAATGTCTACAGGGCGGACTTAATGCCTGATGGCATTCTCTACCAGTCAATCACCACGCCAGACAGAGAGAGCAAATGGCGGTGCGTAGATTTAAAAAAATGTAAATTAAATAATTATTTTGAGAGATAACAACAATTTAAAATGAATAAACATACAAACATATAGAATAAGATACTTAGAAAAATTATACATAAATAAATTACATACAATACATATATATGGTAAATAACTATACATAGTATGTATGTAATGAATTATTTAAAGAACGTATGTAATGCATGTAAGAATGGACGAGTGGTAGTATTCCATCGCGCGTTTTTCAAGGCACTTTCTTCCACGCTCAACCATTCTTTGGAATCAACTTCCAGCAGCAGTATTACCGAACCGATACGACAACATGACCTTCAAGAAAAGAGCATATTCCTTTTTAAAAGGCCGGCAGCACACCTGCAATGCCGCTGGTGTTGCGGGTGACCATGGCCGACGGTGGTCACTTACCATCAAGTGCGCCGCACGCTCGTTTGCCCCTTGTATTGTAAAAAAATGTGACTCCTCTATGCGTATCTAGCAAACTGGCTAGCTAGCTAACAAGTAGTAATAGACATATTTTAATGTGTGTTAAAAAGTATAAATAAATAAATAAATAATATACAAAAAAAGTGCATAGTTTTAAGTATTATTATGTATTATGAATAAATAAATATTTATTGAACTAAATAATAAATTAATTTATATTTAGAATTAACATCTGCGTGCTGACAGAGAGGTTTGTTTGAATCGTAGCATTTGGCGTTGCATTGTTTCTGTCTACCGTAATGGGAGACAGGCGTGACAGATATGTATGTATGTAACTACGTGCTATTTATGTATTATTAATTGAAAAATGCAATTTTTACCTTTTCCTGTATGAAATACATTTACAAAAATATTGTAAAATTAATATACGTTTAAAACAAAATTATAGTACAATTGTAGTTTTATTAAATATCACTATAAAACAAATAGTGACCCTCCGGGGGGAAAGGGATTGTTAGTAATGGGATTTAACAGCCCCATTGCTAGCAATACACCCTACCAGGTCGACCTCCACGCGGTTCTGCCTGGAAACCATAGTGGTTAATTCTTGTTCAATTGGTCACTATGGGCCAACTGACCTGCCTTCATCCTCACCAGTCACCCTTCACTGGTGCCCCGCCAGCGTATACCGATAGCGCAGACGGGGTTACCGTTCCATCTTCACTTATTAAAAAAAATAGTAACCCTCCTTTAATTACTAATTACTAATACAAAGAACTTGCTGCGGATTGAATGAGACATCGAGGTTTTTAAATGGTTGAAAATGGAATGGTAACCCCGCCTGCGCTATCGGTATACGCTGGCGGGACACCAGTTAGGGATGATAGGTGAGAATAAAAAGGCAGGTCAGTTAGTCCATCGTGATGAATACACCTGGCATACAGGACTATGGTTTCTAGGTGGAATCACGTGGAGCGTCGACCTGACAGGGTATATTGCTAGCAATGGAACTGGTAGTCCGCATTACTAACAATCCCTTCCCCCCCCCCCCCCCCTCACCCCGGACTAAGGTGTATTCCTCTGTACGCTGTAATTTCACTGTCATATTTTTTTTTTATTTATTTATTCACCACCCTACAAACCGAAACGTAGCCATAACGCACACGGTAGAAACACGAATGGGACAGAGGTGTCCGTACAAATGACGTCTGTACACTTTCTCCGTTATCAGCCATAAGAAAAAAAATACCAGGCACTTCAAACCGTTTCCGTTTCCAATGCCTACACCAAAGATGCAAACTGAGCAAAAATAGATCAAACGTGGTATTTCAATCGTTACTTAACAAGTTGTAAGTATTTATTAAACAATTTATTTATTTATTCATTAGTACAAATATGTGTACATGGCGGACTTAATGCTAAAAGCATTCTCTCCCAGGCAACCGTAGGCAAGTGTCAGAATACTCGAATGCGGTACTAGTAATTATTGATATACATACATACTAAAATTACATATATAAACGAACAATTCATTGAAATAAACTTGGAACTACATAAGCTATTAGCAATATAGTACTTTAAGCATTTTGGGGCAAAGGGATTGTTAGTAACGGAGACTGAGAATCCAATTGCTAGCAATATACCCAAACAGGTCGACCTCCTCGCTGTTCCTTCTGGAAACTATCACGGTTTATTCCTGATGAATTCATCATGATGGCCATGAACCTCATGGGAGGTATCAAAGGCGAAACAGTATACTCTGTTATGTCCATGGTACTGCTCATGTCCATAGGCGACGGTTACCACTTTCCATCAGGTGGGCCGTCAGCTTGTTTGCCATTCTAAGTTGTATAAAAAAATATGACAATTAAAAGAGCTTGTAAACAACTCTCTTTAAATAAAGATTATCTATATATATATATATATATATATATATATATATATATATATATATATATATATATATATATTCTTTATTGCATTTGTAAGTTACATACAAAATAATGTATTTATAAATATTGTGAGCAAGGGTGGACTTATCTCTGACAGAGATCTCTTCCAGTCAACCCAGTACAGTAAGAAAGCATGTCGTTAGCGGGCAAATGAAGTGCTACAACTATTAATACATAAACAAATATACAGTATAAATAAAATATTGAAATATATAATAAAATATTACATAAATACATACACTGTAAATACATACAATACCTACCTACTTATATAATAAATGTTAAAATAAATGAATATACCACTTACATTTACTGCCAAAAAATACAATCACAATAGAAAATACATATATAAGAAGTGTTATACACATATATTATGTTATATATATCAGGCAAAAGGATCTGTCTCAGCTGATGCTGCGAGTGTCCCAGCGCAATGTGAACAGCTGCACAGCGCTGGTTCTCAGCCAGTGCCTCTCTTAACAAAATTACGACAAAATCAGTGATAAAACAAAAATGGAACAATACAAAAACAAGTATTTTACACTTTAAAAGCCTGATTTTTTAAATCGAATTAAAAAGATATTAGTGTACCCTTTACTATGTTTATTAATGGGGAAAAATAGTAAAAAAAAATTAAAACGATATTTTTATATATATACTAGCTGACTCTGCAAACGTTGTTTTACCATATACATTATTTCGAGAACTATACATGAAAATTTTATCGTACCACAATTATTATATTCGATTACCATCTTGCAACCCTATTGTGGTGTACAGTAAGGTGGCAATCAAGCATACGGCCCACCTGATGGTAAGTGGTTATCGTAGCCTATGAACGCCTGCAATACCAGAGGTATTACGCGCGCGTTGCCAACCCTGAAGAAACCTCTTTACCCCTCCTTTTATAGAACTCTATGCTGTATTCTCTTGGGAAAACCTCGGCAGGGAGCTCATTCCATAACCTGAGTGTTCGTGGGAGAAAGCATCTGTGAAACCGCGTTGTACGCGGCCATTTAGGCTGTAAGGTATGAGGGTGAACTCCCTGTCGATGGCGAGCCGTACGATGGTAGAAAGTGGTCAAAAGTATTTTAAATATGGTACAATAATTCCAATGTTAGCAGTACATCTATACATATAAATAAAATTGGAGTGTCTGTTTGTAATATTGAAAAAATAGTTTTTTACTACATGTATATGAATATATACGGTACATACACCAAAATAACATTTTTTACAATTTTTGTCTGTATGTCTGTTTGTTCCGGCTTATCTCTGAAATGGCTAGACCGATTTTGACAGGACTTTTATTGGCAGGTAGCTGATGTAATAAGGCTACGTATATTTTAGAAAAAAATCTCATATTTTAGAAAACATAAAGTAATATTGCAATATCCAAGTACTGTTCAGTACCGCGCGCAGCGCACGCGCATGCCACCGCTATTGTCAATAAAAATATAACTTAATTTGGAATGAGTGAAAATAAAATGAAATTAAGTAGGTATTTTAATAAAAAATAAAAAATTAAAGAAACGACTGTTAGGCGGAACGAAGTTCGACGGGTCAGAAAGTATATTAATATTTTTTTTTTTTATACAACTTAGAATGGCAAACAAGCTGACGGCCCACCTAATGGAAAGTGGTAACCGTCGCCTATAAACATGAGCAGTACCGTGGACATAACAGAGTATACTGTTTCGCCCATGATACCCCCCATGCGTTGCCATTCCTGAGGACTCAGGTGTTATTCCTCTGTACCCAGTAAATTCACGCCATATCCCACCCTTCAAACCGAAACACAGCCATGCAAACACAACTGCTTTACGGTTGAAACACGAATGGGACAGAGGTACCCAAGCCATCGACTTTTGTACAAAGTCTCCCTCTGGTTAATATAAAATATATAGATAGATATTTCTATAGGAAAAGACTGGTTTATGATAGGCAGAAATAGAGAGTCGTGGAGAAAGATGGAGGAGGCCTTCACCCAAAGAGGTGTTATTAAATAACAATTAGTTATTAAGAAAAATAAATAGATTAGATACTAACGATACTGTAAATATATTAGGGATATGGAAATAAATAAAAGGCTTTATTATTATTATTTTTTAAACTTTACAAAAATTCTCATCTCCCCTCTTAAGGAGGGGAGATGGCAACTAACCCCCGGCAGAAGCACAGTCGTCCGGGGTTCAGGGCCCCAGGGAGAGAAACCGGCATACAATGCAGGCAGAATCTAAGAGCACCGCTTTCTGCATCTTTCCCGGGAGTGAGCCACCTTGGAATCCCAACCGTCTGAGATGTTGTTCCAGACTGGTTGGGATAAGACCATTCACCGACATAACGATTGGGATGATTTCGGTAGATGTCACCCCCCACATTTCGGTCACCTCGTGAGCCAGGTCGAGATATTTTCTCTTCTTCTCGGTTTCGGCTTTCACGAGGTTCTCATCATGCGGTATAGTGACCTCCACCAAAAACACCCTCGAGAGTGCCCGATCCATCACCACGATATCAGGTTTGTTCGCAAGAACTGTCCTGTCCGTGATGATGGATCGGTCCCAGTAGAGCCTGACGCTGTCACTTTCGAGGACCGGCAGGGGCTCGTACTTATAGTACGGCAACCTCTCATTCGCGAGGCCGTACTTCAGAGCTAGCTCTTGATGGAGTATTTTGGCTACCTGGTTGTGTCTGTGCAAGTACTCAGTGTTGGCAAGAGCTGAACAACCCGAAAGCACATGTCTGAGTGACTCTCCGGGATGGCGACATGCCCGACAGATGTCCTCAGTGCCATCCTTCAGAATGTGTTTTTGGTAATTGTTCGTCTTAACCACCTGATCCTGTATTGCATAGACGAATTATTATTTTTAAATTTTACCAAAATTCTCATCTCCCCTCTTAAGGAGAGGAGATGGCAACTAACCCCCGGCAGAAGCACAGTCGGCCGGGGTTCAGGGCCCCAGGGAGAGAAACCGGCGTACAATGCGGGCAGAATCTAAGAGCACCGCTTTCTGCATCTTTCCCGGGAGTGAGCCGCCTCGGAATCCCAACCGTCTGAGATGTTGTTCCAGACTGGTTGGGATAAGACCGTTCACCGACATAACGATTGGGATGATTTCGGTAGATGTCACCCCCCACATTTCGGTCACCTCGTGAGCCAGGTCGAGATATTTTCTCTTCTTCTCGGTTTCGGCTTTCACGAGGTTCTAGACGAATTATTATTATTATTGTTTCTATGTATTACCAACCTCTACTGACCAGCAGCAGCAGGGAAAGGGATTGTTAGCAATGGAGTTTGACAGCCCCATTGCTAGCAATATGCCCTATTAGGTCGACCTTTACGTGGTTCCCCCTGGAAACCATCGTGAACAATTCTTGATGAATTCGTCACGAAGAGCTAACTGACCTGCTTCATCCTCACCTATCATCCTTCACTAGTGCCCCGCCGGTGTATACCGATAGCGCGGGTGAGGTTACCATACCATATCATTCATTAAAAAA